ATGGGTTTGACTTGACTAAAAATTCGTATTGTAACGACTCACCTATCAAATAGACCTTTTCTTAACTAATTATTATGAAGTATGGACAATTTAATGGGCTAGTCCAAGGATGACTCTTGAAAAAGAGTAGGATTACGCGACTTCGCTGGGAATACGACAATGTCTCTGTTATCGAATCATGTATGAGCTCATGAGAGTATTAGTTAAGTGTTCTTTTATTTTATGTAGTTCTAAAATATTTTGACAAGTGTAAATGTCAAATCCACAGGTTGATCAAGTGCAATATTTAAAATATTTTTGAATTGAGATGAATCAGTGTGTCTTCCATGCTCGTGTGAAATATAACCGAGAAACGAGTCGACAGAATGATCAACTGCGATAAATGTGAGCTACATAGCTGACTAAATAATGCAATTACTTAGTATAGTTATCATCTTAGAACTCATATTAACTAAAATCATTTCTAATAGGAAAATCATATTGATGATATGTATCTGAATTTCTTGACAGAATATTTTCATCTTCACATTACTTACTATTATGAAATAGTCGTATCGAAACCAGCTATGAAGGCTTGTAGAATATGATGCTTTTAGCGTATGAGACTTCATTTAAATATTACTATGATGCGTAATTCATTTATCAGTTTCAAAAGTCAACAACATTCTCTTTCTTTATCTACCTTTAGAGTCGTTGATGTAAATATATTTCAGCGATAAACACTAACGAAAACACTACTCTCACTTAACTTAAATAAACATTGACAATGATATGTGGACTGCATCTGAGTGTGGGTTTTTTTCTGCAACTTAGACATATATCGACATTCTATTCATCATGACAATATAAATCAATGAAGGGTGTGGGTATGGGTGTCTCTTCTTGTCTCATACCCACACCCACCCAACAATCAATTCGAAAATTATTCAGACCTATTGATGAAATCGCAACATTGATCGAAGAAAATCTTCAACTGGCTAAACAACATATTGACAATGTGATTTGATATAGAATCCCAAAACCACAAATTTTACAGCAAAAAGATGTAAAAATTATGTCACTTGGAGATGCACGAACGGTATATACAAACAATACATGTATCAAAGTTATTATTATTGATGATAAAATAAAATTTGATATGCAAGTCATTGTCATCCACATTGTTTTCTCATTGGTGTTGAACAAGAAACTAAATAAGTTAAACCTGTTTTCTTTTCTCTTCGTGATTGTCTAGATCATTTAGCTGCATATGAATCGCTATGATTTATGGATGAATTCTTTGCTATGTTTTTAATTTTATGAAATGTAATTAAACAATATAATATCTATCCATCGATTTTTTTATGAGATACTCGTACAAAATGTGGATGCATCTGGAAAGAATATATGCATATAACTTGTGAAGTTCGAAAAATTTTTATCAACATTCATCTAAATAGCAATAATAATGTACACTCTCCAGTTGAAATCATTAAACAATCTATTAAAGATTTTAAAGTTGGGTTCGAAACATTATTAGTCGATTATACACATGAATGAATATCCTTCAAAAAGGAATAAGCAAAATGTCAAGTAATAAGTTCTTCTAATATTATTAAACATGAAGACACATATTTATTTTAGTTGGTAATCTTTATCGATTACCAATCAATGGTAAGAAAATTCGTGCACAAGTTAACGAGCGAAAACATATGCAACAGAAATTTAGTCAAAATAGGGAACTAATTGTTAGTTTACTAGTAGAAACCGATCTATCATTAGTTTTTTTTTGCTTGTATATTTGAGTGAATTAATGTCCACTGGCCTATTAATACATCTCCTTTACACTTTTAGTGATTAACAGAAAAAAAAAGAACCAAAAAGAAAGAAAAGAAGGATAAAACAACACACAAAAGGACAGAAAACCGCATATAAGCTGGGGACAAGTTAAAGAAAAGAATGGGGATGGGGCCAGAGAAGGGATACTTCATTATCAGGTATTGCAGGAATAGAACAGTCCCCTCTTTCAGTTGACCATTTTAGACATTTTTCAATTATCGGCACATGAGGGATAATACGTTTGGATCTGTAAACGAAGTTTACCACCATCTTTTTATCAAGCCATTGGTCCCTGAATGCATTCCATGCAAGAGGCTCGAACAACATATGTCCATCCGTGGATCTTTACAAGGCACTTCTAAACTTCTTCCAATAATTGTAACAGGTATCATCCAGGGATTTCTCATTGTATAATAGAGAAAAAAATAGATCATTCCAATAATAATCATTCATAACTTTTCTTAGACAAGAAAAGTAGAAGTGATTCAAATCATCAGCTTGACGGCTAGTTAGTAGTGGAACAATAGCGAAAAGCCAGGTGAAAAGTGGAAGTACATACACCGAGAACAAGATTCTTCTAAATTCAGAGTTGGATGTTCCAGCTATCCGACAATTCTTAATAATAGCTATTCTTTGACGAATTTTAGTTTTTGTGGTCATAATCATTTTCGTCCATCCTAATTTGGGGCAGATATGGTACCCTATATATTTAAATGAGTTGACCCATACAAGTTTATGTTCACCACAGGATATATCAAATTTTGGCCCTCCTATCGCTCGCGCACTCCACATAGCTTCGGTTTTTGTGTAATTTATGGGCTGCACCGCCAGCACCGAGTAGTACTCAAGCTGATCTAGCAGTTTCTTAAGGCGTATTTCAAGGTCAATAGTAGGAATTTTTTCCTTTTTATAAAGCGTTATAGTCTTATTTCAGCGACGTCAGTCGCCTCGAAATAAGCTTTCTTTGCTGCTGGCTATGTGCACCACAAACAGCGGTCTTTTCTATCACTAACTACACTCAGATATCTTATGTTGTTAAAAAAAATGAAAATTATCTTTCGTAAGAAAAGAAAGAACAACAGAATGAGTGAAATTTTTATTGATAGTACATACATTGTTCATAGAGCATGTAAATGAAGCACTTTAAAATTTAATAGCCGAACTTACCTGATAAAGACCCTTAAGCAAGGTCAAAATCGGTCGTAAGCATAGCTTGTGCTATTAAATGAAGTTCAATTGTATACACACCCGTGTATTCTTGAATTTCTTAAGTTCTTGAATATATTAAAATAGCTGCGAACTCTTTTATTTCAAAAAAATTTTCATTATTCTTTGGATTAGTGGAAAATTTTCGAAATAATTGTGATTCTCCTGCAATATATTGATGATAGTTTAATGAAAGTATAGATCTTTGCTAGACTTCCATTGAACTATTTCAAATTTGTAGGTAGAATCGAATTGCAGCACTTTAAAATTTAATAGCCGAACTTACCTGATGAAGACCCTTAAGCAAGGTCGAAACCGGTCGTAAGCATAGCTTGTGCTATTAAATGACGCTCAATTGTATACACACCCCACCCACACCCACACCCACACCCACACCCACCCACACCCACACCCACACCCACACCCACACCCACATCCCACACTCACACCCACCCTTTTTAGACTGCCTGTAGATGGATATTGTAGTACTCTTGGCTTACATGAGGGTGGTGGTGTGGATGTGGATGTGAATAGCGGTACGAAATTGTCACTCAGACAGACATCTTCACGCCTGCACTAACAACCAGATATACGTAAAGCTACACCATACTAGAACCTACAAGTACACCCATGCAGATGTTGCAGCACTCACGAGAAAATTCACACTCCCACAAACTCAAACGGAGTCTAATATCATCAGAACACTTCTTTCCAAAGATCAGTCTACAGACTTTGACAGAAAATAGATTCTTTAAATATGTGGATTTAAAATTCATTTTTAATCCAAAAAGCCATTTGAAATTTGTAATAACGAGCAAAGAAAACAATATTATACAAGCTAGAATGTGGATATGTCTACCATGATCGATGAGATAGACCGTGTTAGTTCACTTTTTTTACCATATACTTTCACGTTCTTTAAAAGCTGCGTTTGAAATAAAATAGAGTAAATTGCCATTGTTCGTCTTTGTCGACTTCTTCCACAAAACATGACACTCACATGACGCATGCAGAGCTTATTACATGTTAATTGCCATATCCACAACCTCTGCCTTTTTTAGCTTATTTTGAAAAGTCCAAGTAACAACGACAGGCTTTCTCGTCACCTTTCGAGAAAGATAAAGCATATTCTTTGCAGTGTGCGAGTCATTCATAAAATGAAACAGAAATGGAGCAACTTATTGGCGTACATACACTCTCTTGTTCTGTTTCGATGAAAGACGATATGTTTGCATGGTGAATTTGCCTTCTTGCTTTCATTCACGTAGATGAAATCCGATAGGCAGCTCGAGAATAACGCGATTCATTGACAACTTGTAGTTGGTTTGTTCCAACTTCAAAAAAAAACAGGACAAAGTCAATACTTCGATGAAGCCACATGGAATCAGTAAGCATTGGTAACGATGTTATGACACGTTTATTTGTGATTGACAATGAAAAATTTTGCGAAACCATAGTGTATAATGGTACAAAAAGGTGTATCAAAAGCACTGTTTAAAAAAATATTGTCAAACTTAAATTACTACATTCTGAAGATTTGCTAATACGAGACAGAATCAAACATTGATTGCATAGACTAGTTTTGGTTGTCATCAAAATAATAAAAAACAGAATCGTTATAGATCCAATGAGTGGTATTATAGCTTTTTTTTAATGTCAGGAGCGATGCTCCAGAGGTAAAATCAGTCTTTTAAAGAATTTGATTAGAAAGTATGATCACGACGGTGGGATGTGGGTATATGTTCGATGCGTGCAAGTGAAAATATTACTTACACATATTCGCACCCACGCCCCTATACAAAGGAAAGAAGAGCATGTAGTATATCTATTTACCTTAACTATTTTTGATAACTCTCATTTTATGAAGTTTGTCAAGTCCGATAAGAATATTTGCATTTATTTTTATTCTTTATTGAGTTGATAGAAAGATACACGTGTTGCCCTCCTATTTTTTCATATTAAATATAGATAAAAGAATGATACGTTGGCCAGCAGAATTTGAGCCCGATCGATGCGCAGTACATGTCAGAAACGAACTAGAAATCGCAGCGCCAGCATCACATGTATGGTCATGGCTTGTACATGCACGACTCTGGCCAACTTATTATGATAACTCTCAGAATGTTGTCTTTCTCACTGATACTTCATCCTCAATACTTCGTGAAAATACTCGTTTTACGTGGCGTACATTCGGTGTAGATTTGGAATCGCAAGTAAGAGAATATGTTGAAGGTGAACGCATTGGTTGGGATGCTCGAGGTTTATTAGGTTTATATGTTTATCATGCATGGTTAATTATACCACGAGATGAGCATAACTGTTTAGTCATTACAGAGGAATGTCAACATGGATTAGTTGCGCGATTAGGAAAATTGTTTTGTCCTAATCGAATGCACACGCAACATCAGCATTGGCTTGAACAACTTCAACGTATGGCTAAAGAGGGACCGCCGAAAGACAGTTAATTTCATAAGAATTTTATTTTGAAAATCGACTATGCTATATAGAAATAAAAAAAAGAATTACACATCATCCTGATGTCACAATAGTTTTATAATTGAAGGTGTAGATGTGTGTTAGAGTGTCGGTGTGGGGTGTGAGTAGGTGCGGGATGTAGGTGTGGGTGGGTGTGGATGTGGGCATAGATGTGATGTGCGTGTGAAGAGGAAATCTACAGCGACATCCACACCTATACACACACGCACAGTCACATGCACACTCACATCCACATCCATCCCCGGTGACCGATCACTTCGTCACACGACACTTCGTCGCAGCAAAATTTCTTTCGCTATGCTCGTCACTATTTATTCGTTGCATCTCTCTTAATTAATTATTTTTTTTTCAAAGATGTGAAATTGACCAATTAATTCATCTTTATTTTGTGCATTAGAAGGTAGCGAAAATGCAAAATTTCAGTAAAAGTTTTTTTTTTCATTCATTTATATATGATTTCATAGAGCTTGAAAAGCTGGTTACGAATATATAATTTTTATTTCGATTCGACCTTTGTTTGACTAAGAAAAGGAGTTAAAAAGTCAAATGACTGAAAATGTAGTATATTCAACCAGATGCTCACTTTTTTATAGAAATCGTGAAACTTCAAAGACATTTATCGTGTTAAACTGTTTCAAAATGTTATATTCTTAATCAGCATGAAAATCAGAGTAAGAAAACTCTATTCGATTAAATTTAATACTAAGAAAAGTTCAGAAAGTCTTGTAAGAAGTAATAGCTGCAGCATCCCCTAAACAGCGTATTATTGAGTATTCTTATAAACCTATCTAGTTTTTTGTAACAAGAGGGTGTGGGTGTGGGTAAAGAAGAGATCGACATCTGAACCCAAATCCACCCACACACCATAATATGGAAACGCAGAATATCACTAGTCAAAGTGCAACAAATATCGACAAAACGGAATCAATCGTAGATCATATTCTAAGTGATTTACAGCAAAGTGCAAAAAAAATTGCCGTTAGAGTTTTCAAGTTTCTTCTACTAGAACAATGAATATTGAAAGCTTTCTTTTAATTGATGGATTACACATGTGATATAGTCTACAACTATAGCAACTAATAAAAGTTTTGCTCTCTCTTCGGATCAATAAGAGTGAAATATGGCGCTTTCTTGGAAGCGGCCAAACAATTTGGAGTTTACATGCCAATTTTATCCCGTCCTTACCAGGTTAAAAGCATCCGATAGTATCCCATGTGATCCTGATAATTCTGATCAGATCTTGTCGAAATCTTCGGTATGGATTCTGACAGTCGAATCCAATTAGATTATCATACCATTCCGATAATAGGATTGAGCCTAGAGCATATCAGATCCGATGATGTTTCAGATAAGATCCAACATCGACCCTGTCGGATTTCTCGTCCTGCGTTTGTTCAAAAATCTCTTCAATTCATCGAGATTGAAGAGTGTTTCCCTAGCAAATCGTTCGAGTACCGACTACAAGCATTTAATTGACATCAAGTTCGTGCTATTCGATAGCTACATGATGGTTTCCTACTGATGTGACAAAACAATTCCTTTGCTAGCTCAGATACTCTATAGAGCTTCACTGTTGGGTCTGATTAACCTTATACGAGATAGTACGTACAGAGGTCTTCGTCACACAGATACCTTCGGGTATCACAACGACAGTTGACACTTTAATGATACGTCATTTTCATGAAACTGAACAACACTTTTGGAGATATGTCAGTCTCATCGAATGCACAGAGCTACTGGCTAATATTTGTAAATAGTTCAAAAGTGATTGCTTAAAGAGCTGAGAAAACAGCCTTCGACGAAATTCGTATGTCAAACGACAATTCTTTTTGCACCCTACAGTATCTTTTGGCTGTGACATTACTTGAAGAGACTATACAAATCGAATCAGTGTTCTGTTTCATACACACTCAAAACTTTGTTTTATTGATACAGTGTTCCATAATAATTGAGGATAAATTATCAATAGCAATTTTTATACTTTTTCTCGATGTAGAAAGCTGAAAAGTTTAACACGCACATATATAATCGAGATCTTTAGTTTTCTATAGATTTAGCTCTCTAACTAAATCTACTTAGTGCTGAAATACATGAATCTTCGTACTTGCTTTCTGTAGGATCTTTATTTGTCGCCTGACAATATTGACAAACACCTGATAGAAAGAAATTTTTCAAGACAACTTTTTTTGAAAAAGATAAATTATAACAAAATCAATGCATATGAACATGATCCTCCATTGTTTTCTATAGGCAGCTGTCGTCAATAAGATATTTTGTTCATTTTTGCATATTTTTCTCTTAAAAATTTTCTTTATTCTTCGACAATTTATTTTTACTAATTATAAAGATGTATCAAACACTTGCCGGATAATTTTTTCTCTCGATACATTCAAATATAGTTTCACTTTTCCATACATTAGCAAATCTAGCATCATCATGTAAGAATTATTCACATATTTGTATTACTATTAAGTACTTTCACCTCATCACTGTAATAAAAACATATGTTATATATAGTCAAAACATCATTACATTGTCTTTGATTTATCATTATGAATTCGGACGTCTTATCGGTGATAAAACTGGCGTTTCCCCACAACAGGAAAAGGCCTCGAATCTATTCTTTTTTTTCTCCATTGAAGAAACCATCTTTTGTTCGTGTTCTATTTTAATTTTTTCAAATCCATCAAGAATATGTTGGCATACTTTTGGATGAAAACCTGATCTGATTGCTGCTGTTTTAGCGGCTGATGAGATTCCTTCATCGTCATCTACTTGTAATTGTTCATTGTCTTGAGCTGATGATGCTGTATCGAATAATTTTGTTGAAAAACGTCTTCCTTCGTTTCTATAAGTTTCTACTGTCTTTCTCACACTGGCATAAGTTCCTCGACTAAGCCATGTGAGTGATGATAGTGTGCCTACCGCAGGTTTCATACCCATATTGATGGTCGCTATTAATGATCCAGCGGCACCACCTAATACACCATGTCGTTCATAACCGACACGTGGCTGTTTTATAATACCAGTAACTCCATCTTTCCAGCCATTCCATAAGGCCTGACCAGCCGCCTGGGCACCTGACTTGAAATCGGTGACGCGAGGTCGTGGACGTGCCTTTGGATCACTACAATGAACTTTACATTGATTCGTGAGAGTGGAATGAGGCTTTACCTGTAGGGATCATAAAGGAAAGTAACACGATCGAGTGCATCGGTCATTTCACCATATAATGATAGATACCCAATCGTTAAATGGCCTATTCCTAGACCAATATTTTTTGCAACACTTCCAGCACCTTCTAATGTCCCCATAGCTGCATTATCGTTATTAGCAGCACGTTTTAAGTCAGCGGCAGTATCAATGAACATACATGAAAAAGCTTTTTGTGAATGTTCAATTATACCATGAGTAAGTAAACGCATGCGATGATTATGCATAAGTTGCCATTCTCGTATAACATGACGACGAAGTTCTGATTCTTGAATAGCTCCAGCGGCAACAAGTACTTGAGCAACAGGACGTGATATTTGTATATTATATTTATCTGAACGATAACAAGCAGCAAATGTTGGTTCTAAATCGCTATGCATTTGCGCTAAAGGTAAATTAGCATGAAATGCTTCTACTGCTGCCGCACATCCATCTTCTTTCAAAATAGCATCACGAATACGTTCTACAGCAGCACATGTAGTTGATTTATGTACAAAATGAAAAGCTTCAGCCAATTGATCAACAGTAATCGATTTTCCAGGCAGTGGACGTGGACCAGCTCCACTCCTTTCAATAACTTTACCCCAAAAAAATTGATCACCAAAAAACGGTACAATAATTGTTGGTTTTCCAGCGCGTAAACCAGCTGCTGTTGTTCCTGCTCCACCATGATGACATACAGCTGATACTATAAAGAAAATTCCATATTGATGCTAAGTCGAATGACAATGAAAAATCACACTTACCATATTGAAAAAGCCAATCATGTGGTACATTGCCAATTTTGAATATATTAGAAGGTAAATGATCTGTATCAGTCGCAAGACCAGATAATAGAGCTCGATATCCAGTTCGATCAAGAGCATCAACAACAATCCGAAGAATACGACGAGAATCATGACCAGTAATAGAACCGAAACCAATATAGATTGGTGGAGATAATTTACGATCTATCTGATGGCCATCATTATTGATTCCAAGAAATTCCAATAGATCTTTTGGTGGATTAGTATAAGCAGTACCAAGATTGAGAAAGAAAAAGCCAGAAACATTAATATGTGGTCCCCAATCATTAGGTTTTGCGACAAGCGAAGGTGACCAACAATAAGTATGTGGTACAGATTCATCAATTAATACATTTGTTGCTTGTCGTGTATGTAATTCTCTCAAATCTAATGTTTTCTTACGAAAATTATTCACAATATCACGCATACCCGTCCAAGTCTTGAAAATAAAATGATCAAAAAATTTTATGAAAAATTATTTGTTTCTTTCATTGACTTACTAGCATTTCAATGACATCATACGAATACAAATTAATCTTGTCTTTTGGTCCAATTGAACTATCAATATTTGCTAATGGATGTGGAAAAGTAGTTGTTGGTGACCAAGGCATAGTAAACATAATATGTAAAGGAATTCGTAATTTTTCTGCACAATGAATATGACCAAATGATGGTGGATTCGCAATGATTGCTTCAGCGATAAATGCTGCTTTTGTTTCATCATCATCGGCTATACATGCTTGCCATGTTGATTCAAGAATATCCGCAAGAGAACGACGTTTTTTTCCCACGTCACCTTCGATAATACTACTTATCGAAGGAATAATACCAGCATTTTTTACCATAAACGACATTAAATCAGCTGGATCACCAGCCAATGGATAAAATTCTAGACCATTACCACGAACAAATGATCGAAATATTTCATGTGTTGCTAATCGTACACGGTGACCAGCTGCATGAAGTCTTTGACCAAGACTAAAAAAACAATATAAAATCAAATTTATAAAAAGTAGAAAAGATTTATTGAACTGACGCAATAAATGGTTGAACATCACCTCTTGTACCAACGATAAGTATAACAATAGCTAGACGAGATACAAGAAGATCATCACTAAGATTATCTTGATTTTCATTCGTTTGTTTTTCATTTATAATCGATCGAGAAGGATGTTGTAATGGTGTTGGTGTAACTATTGATTTTCGTTTCTGATTAAATATTAGATCAATAAGTCCATCAGGACCATCAACACTAACTGTATAATCAAGAATATCATTTGATTTTTCATCTGAATCTTTATATTTATCAAGATTGTTTTCATCTATGGTCATATGTCCAGTAGCACAAATTACTTTTCCATGAATACGAAGACAAGCATGAAGAGAAAGAGTTGTATTAATACAACAAATAACTAAGATATTATTATGATTATTTTCACTATATGATAATTTTGAAGATAATTCAATTGGATCTTTTAATGATACTAATGAACCTGAAAAGATCTGTATACCGTTAAGCCATATAATTGCATTGATATTGGATTGTTTATCATGATTATCTGATGGTTCAAAATTAAGATAGACTAGTTGTTCAGATTGTTGATTTACTGATGTCCAATCAAATTGTTTTCGATACCACCATTTACAGGATTGTTTAACATTATTGATAATATGTGGTAATTCTATAGAAGACCATTGTTGATCTATATTAATGTTATTTGCAGTTGAAATAATAGTTTTTTCATCAGTTTCATCATTTGATTGTTGACAGGCACATTTCCAGTCGTTATCAAAATCCACATTTGTCAGGTCTCTGTTATTTGTTGCCATGATTTGTTAATCTTTAAAGAAAAAATTACATCAAGATGATGGTGATGAGAATATATGTATGTCTTAGAGATGGCTAAGTACAGACTTTCTTGAGTACGAGTACGGCTACCAGACCTCTGAGTACGAGTACTTCGAAGATGTTGTCAAGCTCTTGTAGGTCTCTTCTCTGATCAACACTGAAAAAAGACGTTATTTCTTTTTTTCTTGTTCTTCACGTTACCCGCTGAGTAATACTCTGTGTCATTACTACCATCGTTTGTTGTTTTTTACTCGATGCCGGTGGATTTTTTTTCTTTTCAGTTCATATTCAACTAAAGCTTTGAATAGAGAAAGAAATATTTAATACTTCGACACTAAAATAAAATGTGTCGCATCTCTTGCTCTTTCTGCTGGTTGCATGCATATAACAACTAGCGGAGAACGCAACAGATGCGACACATCAACACATTTTATTTTAGTGTATAATTGGTGGAACTGTTCGAACATTTAAATTAGTTATGACATGAATGATATTAGTCATTTACAAGTGTGTTCTTTCTTTCTTTCTTTTTTTCAATCAAGGATTTCTTTGCTAAACAAGTTTATGACGTTGGCAACAATTCAAGATTTTTCTGTTTTAAAGAGCATTATTTAGAATAAATGTAAGAAATAAAAGAATCATTGTAATTGATTCTGATAAATATTAGTAGACTGTATGATAAAGAGATTGCGATGATTTATAATTTATTTTGAAAAATCTGTGTCGTAGTTAATACAAGTATAAATACCCCATTTAATTCACTGTGAATTTTTCTTTCTTTGTTTGAAGTGCACCCTATTGCGTTTTTTCTTTTCTGTTGTTGTTTGTTGATCAGCACTTGTAGTGCAGATTCTTTTAACAGAAGACTTATAAATCACGTATGAATTTTTCGAACGAAAAAAAAAAACGTTAATATCTATCATTAATTTTAAATTGTTCTTATTGGAATAAAAAAAAATTGTGTAATTATCATGACAGATAGTGATAATAATGCTGAATATTCTTAGAAAAGATTCGATTCATGGATCGCGAACACGTGTAGCCGAGAGAAGAGAGGCAAACGATTTATGACTGAGCCATAAAGAATAAATGTTGTTTCTTCACTTTTTTGCTAAGGACTTTAGCCAGTCTAGAGACACTATTGTAGACTCATTTAATAGAAAATGCTCACTCAACAAATCTTTCAATCAGAAGAAAAATTTTAAACTAATACTAATCAGTGTTTTTTTGAGAATCATGTGTTCAAAAGCTAGACTTTCCTATAGAATTTTTATCGTTGTGTAGTGTACTGCATGAATCACAAATCACGATAAAATTCACGAATGATGATCACGCGTGATCGTGCGTGACTAGAAGTTTTTTTTCGTAAACATGATCGTAATCGAAACTAAGATTTGATATTCACGAATGTAACATATACGTTCAAAATTTCAAGTGTTTATTCAGGAATAGCATCTGAGAATTCATATACTATTTTTAACGAAAAAAAATAAAGAAAATACATAAGTTAATTAAATATTATTATATAAAAAACAAAACTATTCTAAATCTTTTTTATTAAATTTCACAGGATTGGTGATACTCATTCTAAAAATGAAGATAAATTAAAGTTTGGTCGATCTTGAAAGTATTTTTATGAGTGAAAATAGAAGGAAATTATCGACTTTTGTTGTTACATTCTCTTTGGCTGTACCCAATAAAATATATCAGACAGATGACACGATCGATTAGGACCCGAACAGATCGGTAATAGTTCTAATCTGAAAATCTGTTCAAACAGTTATTTCGATCATTTGATCCAGATCTTTGATCTAGATTTGTACGAACTCTATGATAGATCGATGAAATATTTTTCTTATGTTTTTATTTACTATGTAATACTAGTCATCATAATCATAACTGTGATCGCGACAACCTTTGGAAAAAATCTTTCAGAATAGCAAACAAAAGAAAACTCTCGTAAAATATACGAAAACAATGTAATAAGGTGGCAAACAGGATCACATTGTTATTATGTTAAGACCAAAAAACGATAGAATACTCATAATAATGGCCATTACTCACGTGTCCACTGACTAAAACTGAAACTGACGCAATCGCTTTAAAAAAATTAAGGTTCTTTTCTTTTACGTATCACATTTTTCGTTAAAATTTTTTCGAACAGATATCCTTTGATAAACAAGAGTGGATGATGTCATAAATGACGTCATCAATGACATGAACAAGTAAATGAATGAGTTGCACTTATTGCTATCTATAGTAAAGAAACATTTCAAATATTCTTTTTCAAAGTAACATACAAAAAAGAACCAATTGTTATTGATTTGCTACCGTTCTTCATCAACAAGCTATTGCTATTCACTATAACGTAATAGATATTTCTAATTGCTGATATAGTGCAGGAAAGGAGAAAAGTAAAAGCACGAGTCACTTCTTGTCTGATCAATTCATACAACAACATGATTTGTCTTTTATAAAGAGCATTTTCTTTTTCTTTTAACATGTGTAACTAGATTTTTGAATCAGTGAACCAATACATTTTGTCAATTGATTAAAAGTTATTTGCTGATTTCAGGAGGTGATCCGACCAGAGGATATCGGCAGTGGGTCACTCTCAGTCTTAAAACAATTCTATTTTTTGCTGAACAAAATCAGAAAATTTTCTTCCATTTAGCATCCAAAATAATGTTGCATTCTTCAAAAAGTTGAAAAATTTGACCTTTTACTCCAAAAAAACTACACTGCATCTCCCTAATGTTAATTGACTCGGAGTATCTCTGGCTGATTCTCTAGCACTTAACGAGTAACTATAATCCGTGACAAGCTATATATAATAGAATAATATATTGCGTAAGAAAAATGTCTTTTGTTTAGATTGTAAAATATTTTTAATTGAATACTTGTAAATATCTCCAAGACCTTTGAATAACTATTGTGGTGCAACATATTCAACCCAAAAAATATTTTAATGATGTCGCTTTGAATCATACCGGGTTTCATAGATATAGATCATTTTTGTAAACCTATCTAGTTTTTCTATGCAAGTGATGAGGTGTGGGTGTGACTGTGGATGAGGGAGTGGGCTGTGAATATAAAGGACAAACCCAAACCCACACCCTTCCGCAAATAATCTCATGTAAATTTGATTTGATTGTATATAGATTGCAAATAAATTTAAGACAATTTAAAATCGAAAGAAATATACTGACTACTGAAGCTCTTTGAGTTGATTCCGAACTCGGGTTCAAGTCCAAAAAATTTGAATCCGACGAGCTCTATTGACTAAACTTGAATGCAACTAATTCTACTATATGAGAGAAAAAAAATAAATCTTCCAGTTTAGATTGCTTATTAAACACATCAATAAAAATTGGTACAAGGTCAACAAAAATAACTTTTCACATAATTTTGTTCTTTATTCATAACAAAAAAAAAAGTATTTCTTTTTTGCATCTCTCCATTTAAATGCTTTCACTTCATTGTGTACATAACACTATGATTTTAAATTCTTTTTCTTCTTCTGCAAATATTATTTGACGATGTTGGTTGTGAAATTGCCAACAATACAATGATTCACCATAAAACAAATTACGTCGTTCATAAAATAAAAAGTAAATAGTTAAAGAATCTTTATCTACTAATAAAATATTCGATGAATAATATTTTAATGATAGAAAAAACAAACAAAATTCTGCATGATTAATAAATATCTATTGTTCAAAATGTTCACGAACGTCTACGTTCGATAAGCAACTGATCGATCATGACCATTACTGGTACTTTCGGAATAGAAGAATTTAAAGAAGATAATTTCACCAGTAAATATCAGAACAGAAAAAATAATTCCACAAGCAAGACCAGCAGTTGCTGCTCTACCAAGACCCGTTCCACCTTATATGGAATCTATAACAAACAAAAAAAAGATCAATACTAATGAGGGAATGTTTTTAAGTGTCAAGTTACCTTTGAGTCTAGACCAATGTGTATTAGAAAGGTTCTAATGAGATATGAATATCTTGAAAAGAGTTCGATTGAATAGCTTATTATTGTCGAGATAATCATAGTCCTCGTCAGAAATATCAAGAAAACTGAGTTTTAAATTTCGACTTGAAACTTTGCATAGAGATAGACATTAATGAGAATTGTGTATTGTAAAAGTTTTAGATCTTTTGATTATTTCAATACTAAGATATGGCTATGATAAAAGTATATTTTTCACACTGTTCATGTACAATAGCATATGTTCATGTTCTCATTTCAAAATAGAAGCAATCAAAAATCTGAAACTTTAACAATAAGCTATTTTTCATTAGGACTTATTTCTATCTTAAGTTTCAAGTAGAAATTTGAAACTTAATTTTTCTTGTATTTCTTATGAGGACTATGGGATTCTGCTAAAAACTATAATATCTCGGCAGCAATACCCTATTAACCTAAATTCTTTTCAAGAGTATTCATAGTTGATTAGAACCTACATGATGAATATAGTTTCGATTCAAAAGTGATTTGAAACTTAGGAAACATTTCATCGTAAATTGTTTATTGAAATAAATATAGAAGAATATTCACTCTGTTGAGTTGAACTTGTTGGAATTATTGGTGCTTCTGATGTCGTAGCTAATGGAGGGGATGTCACCGTTGTGGTGGATGTCATCGCTGTAGCGGTTGTTGTTGCTAATATGGGATCTGTTGTCATTGTGGCGTTTATTGTTACTGAAGCTGACAATACTGTCGTTGTGATGGTTTCTGTTATAGTTGGTGTGGAAGATGTTGTTGTTTATGGTACACATGTGGTAATATTTTGATTACAAAGAGAATTTGTACAAGCACATTCTTCAACAGGTGTTGCGGCAGGACCAATATACTTATAATAGACGGTAGTTGCTGTTTCAATAAACGAATTATTTGAAGTATTAGAAAGTATTGGTGGTACTTGATAAACTTTTTCAGAAATATAAATTTCGTAGTTTTCATAGATGAGTGCTCGTTGTGTTATCATTGTTTCATTTATTGTAATAGCACACAATACACTTGTATTTCTAATATAGTCTTGACAAAGTGAAGTATCTATAAATGGATGCTCTGTGCATATATTAGGTGCATTCAATGTATCATTGCATTGAATGATAGAAGTTAGATTAGGCACAAAATCGATTGATGATGACATATTCATAGAATTCATAGTAGAATCTTGACAGGTAGTAAAGTTTTCGTTTCAATTGTCATTAGCACAAACACAAATTTGCATATTTGTGTATAATTCGAATGGTAGTCGTACACCACATGACCATGCACCGGCACCTGCTTGTGACATATTTACAGTATTGTTACAATTCTTTTCGATGAATCGACGCAATGTATTTATATATCGAAGACCATTGTATAGAGTGAACGATATTCGTTCCTATTGATTCAAACTACTATAGATACGAATAGCACATAACTGGAAATCACGTGATGAGATTAGACCATTATCTAATCGACACGTGAGATTACGTGGAACACTGATATTTGCCACATTTTGAAGAAAAAAAGTATTAACTGTATGTGGGATGATAATTAATACAGAAATAATAACAACGAAATAAAGTCGAATCATGTTGATGCAAATGAAACTGATCTTATTTGTTGATTGTACGGTTGTCGTATTTTTTTTTGTTATTTAAATACACCAGTTATTAAAAATAGTTTGTCTTCTCGAAATATTCGCAGAAAAAAAAACGAACAAAGAAGAATTCATGTTTATATTTCGTTTTTCTTTTTGATATATACGGTTTGAAAACAAACATAAAAAAAAAATATTTACTTACTTTTTTCTTTTATTGCTAGTAAAAAGACATACAACGAGAAAAAAAAACAACAAACGAATATGATATTTAAGAATTCACAAGAAAAAAAAACTCGAAGTGTTGTTACTTCTTTGTTTCATTCAAAAGGAAAAATACAACATAACATACTGTTTGAAAAGAAAAAAAAAGTCAAACAAAAATGTCTTATATTGTATACATAATGTTTTTGCTAGTCATATTAAAATATGACAAGCCCGACATATGACTATATTCTATCTGATGTTGAAAGTCATATGAATCAATTATCTTAAATATATGAAACAAGAACATATAAAATATAATTATTAGTTTCTATCTATATAATTAATATGAACATTCAAATAATGAATAGCACTATTATTATTCAATGATGAAATGATTATTATTTTCATGATTAATATCATTCATAGTCTTCTTTGTCTCTACATGTTTATTAAAGTAATCCAGACAATAGAATATCATTAAACGGTGTGAGACAGACAGTATAAGCATGTATTTATTGACATTACTCTTAGAAACCATAGCCGTAACAGCATATTCTTCAAAAGTGTTGATGTTGAATAAATATGTTATTTTTGATATATCAATTGGTCAGATCAAAGTATTTTCTTTTTGTTCCTACATTCAATAAAGTTCCATTAAGAAGAAATTTCAATGAATTTGGTATGGCATTTCTATTCAAACAAAAAGAAAAAAAAATATAAAATTGAAAATACATCAAACTACATTCTATATCTATCTTAACAGATAATGATTAACTGATGAATGAAGTTTAAGAAATAATTTAATTGTTAATGCTATATTCATTGTAAACATTGATAATAATGAATGATGTATTGCTAAACATGTTTGTAATGATGATAATTCAAGAAAACTACCATCAGTTTGTGTGTATACATCATATGTTGTTAAATTTTTATCATAAGATGATATTCGTCTATTTGATCAACCACGATAAATATAATGTGAAGTTTTTGATCGAGTATAATCAGAAGGAAAATATCGTTGTGGCATACGAGTAAAACTTGTTAAAGGTATTTGACATGAAAAATTTGTTGATGAACGATGGCAATTTTTACATAGATTTACATATCATATTTCTAAATAAATTCAAGATTTACAAGATTTTAATCGAAATTAGATATTTTTCTAAAATAACATTTGTTAAATTCAAATCAATTCGATAGAAGAAAAATTAATCACAATATAGATTTACTTCTTTTTTTTTAATTTGAATTTTTGTGTTACATCTTTTCTGAATAATTTCATTATAGATGCAAAAGAAAAATATGATGCATGCATAATGTTGACGTATACAATTCTCTTATTTGAAAAAGTAGAAGTGTTGATGATCTGTTAGATAATTTGATTGTTATTGTACAACATGATGATAGATGAACATGTGATAAGCAATAAGAAAATCAATGCTTGTCAACATTAAATTTATTCTTTTGATATTTATTGAAGATTATTTTATGTTATTGAAAGACAGGAAACTATTATGTACTTTGTCTTTTCATTATTCTCATCAACGATCTTTATAAAAAAAACCTGATGGCGGTTATTTTGCATGCAGAATAACGAGAAAAGCATATTTATGCAAAAAATAATAAACAATCAGTATTGTGTCATTATTCTTTGTAACGTATCAACATAAAAATCTCTTTGTTTCTCATGCGTATATAAATCGAAGAATGAATCGTTAGATTAATGATGAACAATGAACAGATGTGTAACAGGTGGCCTAGACGAACTGACCACTTTTGTTTTCTGTCTCTAAGACATTTTAAAATAACGTTAAAACCTGTCTTTGAGCTTATTCGATGTGAAATTTATTTCTCTACAAAATTGGCAACTTTGTTGTTCAAATGAAATTACCTTGTTCGCACAAGATTCACACAATTAAGCGTTGCTCAATCGTCCCGCTGCGAAAAATAAAAAACGAAAAAAACATGATAACAAATTTTAATTATACCACAATATTTTTCGTAAAATTCTGCATCTTTTGATATGTATTTCAAAACGTTAGAAATAATCAAGTTAATTTCATTTGACAAACAAATTCGCGAGTCTTGTAGAGAAATAAACTCTACATTGAATAAGCTTAAAGGGAGAGTTTAACGTTACTTTAAAATGTCTTTAAGACAAAAGTGACTCGTTTTATCCAGACAAATCTATATAATGCTAGATAGAAGAGTAATTGGTTGATAGCATGAGAAAAGATCAAAGTTTGTTCAAGCTTCGTGATCAATAAAGGATACACTAAGCAAGTCTTGAAAGAATATCATCGATAAGTTTCAAAGAAAACAAAAGATCGAAATTATGCATATGATTAAAGAAGAGAATTAAGTAGAAAAGTTAATATAAAACAATACATAGATCTTGTTTTTTTTTGTATTCTATTAAATGAAAATCTTATATTTACTTCTGTAATTTATAATAGACATCTTATCAAGTATTTATTGAAAAAATAGTTAACCTCGATTTATTCTTATATATATATATATATATATATAATTGTCAATCATAATAAATGACATCTCGATCTACTTTTTTTTTGCTTCATATACATACCTTTATCATGATGTGTTTCTTCAATTGTTATATTATTTTCATCATTTGTAATGTTATTCTCTTTATTATCATTAATATCAGTAGAGATAATAATACTTAGGGCAGTCCAAAAATAGTTGCAGCTCATCCGTAATTCTTTATAAAAAGCTTTAAGAAACTTTGTTTCTATATAGTCTGATAGAGAAAAGGGTGTGGGTGTGAGTGTGGGGTGTGGGTGTGGGCTGTGGGCTGTGGATGTGAGTGTGGGTGTGGGTGTAGGTATCGGTTAAGAGAAGAGCAACACCACACCCACACCTACACCCCACAACAATACCCACCCGCACTCCACACCCACACTCCATATTTATTCCTACATCTGCAAGTTTGTTAATTGAATTAGCAACAAATAAAATTATTTCCCATGGATTATGATGCAAACCTCGATAATATGGCCAATTTATAGGTTTTGTCTGATTCCAATTTGTTTCAGCATTTCCATTTGTACTTATCCAATCCATAAAACATATTAAACAAAAACGTGATAAATGTGCTAATAACAAATTAGTTATATTTGATTTTGATGTTAAATCATGATCCGATTGTAATAAAACTATATCTTGCAAACCAGAACAACTTGTATTACGAAAACTAAGCATCAGACCAGTCGTATTTTGTATAATATTGATAACAGCTATTAGCGTATTTGTGGAAGTCTCTTATGATTGATTAGTAATATATGAATGTTGATCAAGGTCTGTTGAAATCTGCGCATTACCTTTTTGCATATAAAACATATGTTCCACAAAAATCAACACTTTCTCCAGCTACTACTGTTCCAAAATCACCGATTGGCCATCCAGTGACAGGATCAAATGTTGCATTACCATCCAAAGATTTATCTGGAGTATCCTATTGTTGACTAAGACTCCAATCAGCTACACCAGGCATGTTAGTACCATTAGCAGTTAATGTATTCACATCTGTTATTGAAATAATTATTAACCAAAATATTCTTTAATTATCTTAAACAAAAGTTTCAAAATGTTTTATTAGTTCAACATCTTATGAATTTAAATTGCACATTTATATTTCATTTCATATAAATATCAATATATAAATCAAAGTATTAAGCATCGTTCTAAATTAACTTTTACTTCAATGTAGAAAGCTTCAAAAGTGTGATCGAAGGTTAACAGTACGTTTATGAAGGATTAGACTAAATGTAGACTGTACCTCCTGAAATAACACAATGAAACTTTGCCACTATCTTACATTATATTTTACTCTATTATGAAAGTAAAATGAACAACATAGAAAGCTTCTATTTAACTCTTTAGGTCCATGAGTCGTAAATTTGTGTCCTACAATTTGAAGGTATAAAAACATTTAAGTAATGAAGAGAGACCACTTATGAATGGATATTATAAAACTTGATGTTATGTGCTATAACTCGTTTCAAGGGGTACGTGCATTGAAACCAGTTTAACTAATATAGGTCATCGTAGATCTTAAGATAAACAACGATGTTGAGTTTTCAGGATTTTACTATCTTTTATTTTGAAAAATAATCTCCGACTGAATGGGTTAATTAAATTTTAATCACCAGCAATTGCTCGAATTTGAGAAAGTGCGAAGTTGGACATGGGCAAAGAAGTGTACGCAGAGGATAGAATTTAAGAATTCAATGTTATAAAAACATTTATTATGGTAAAAATATCAAACACATCACTAAAAGTTTGAATTAGTACAGATATAAAACGCAAACAGAAGAAAAAAGCAATAAAAAATCCTGGTATTTATTGGTGTATGTATTTGCAAACGATGTGAATGTACTGTTTGTGACAGCATATCGATCCCAGAACCGCGAACAAGTAGGATAATAATAACGGTTTCTCATCTGTGGATTGATCTCAATAACGAAGTCATTATCGATCGAGTTTTGATAAACATTCCAGTTGGCTGGACTTCCACTGTAATTAGGATTCGAGTTATAGATGAAATAGGCCCAATATAACATCATATTTGTAGAGAGTTGTTGGTCCATTGCATTGAAAGTGTAACCGCGTAAAAAATAGGGAAGATACGATGGAAAGAGCATGGGAAGTTCGGCAGCATGAGCTACACCGGAGCAAGATGGTGTAGCAGATAGGAGATGATTATATGTGTATAAATAAGAAGGTACTGCATAACTAGAAAAGCTAGAAGCAATACGTCTAGATCCACAATTCATCCAAGAGTTACTGTATACTATATTTAGATACGTTAATGGATTATCATAGGCAGATATGGGACCATAGATTGAAGGAATCTCATCAATAATGGTGGCATTGTATATTGTCTTGAAATAGGCTTGAACTTGTGTGCTGTTGGCGGTGCCATTAAAGATCGGACATGTGATCATAGTTGTTTCGTTCGCCGTGGTTCCTATCAGTAGAGGAACTTTTTGGAAGTTTCCTCTAGCATAATAATTTTCCATCATATCGTTCAGGACGTAACCGTCAATAATTGGAATACCAGATATTCTATTCGTATCTTTAGACATCATAATATTCTGAACAGCGAGAATTTGATCTACGGTTAGATTGCGCAGACATTGCACAGTAGTACAATTTGTATTAGCTCGCAAAACGTTGCCGGTCTTGTTGATGGCCACCTGCAAAGGATCCATTAAATTGGGCCATATAGTACCACTTCCAACATGGGCTCTTTGAAACGTATCACTGGCAACCAGTGAGGATGTGAGCAAAATTGCGGTGCTTATACCGCCAGCACTCTCACCACCGACGGTAATTTGCTCAGGATTGCCACCGAAACCAGCTATATTCTTCTTTATCCAGTCTAATGCCATTATTTGATCTAATATGCCATAGTTACCAGTGGTGTTTCTGTTGTCGATACCTGATCTTTCGGCAAACAATCCTTCATCTGCTAGAAAACCGAACAGACCAAGTCGATAGTTGATCGTAACGATGACTATAGGAACAAAATTGATAATGCTTGTGCTAACGAACGGAGTAGCATTATACTGCATAGAAGAACCGGCATTAAAACCGCCTCCATGAATCCAAACATATACAGGCAAATTATTTGCATTCTCCGGAGCGTATACGTTTAAGATGAGACAAGCTTCGGTACGTGGGAAGCCAAAGTCATACACCTGAAGACAAGAATTGGAATTGTATGCTTCTCTGGTAACATTGGATGTGGCAAGAGCTCGAGGAGGCATCCACCTAAGGTTCCCAATAGGTTGTTGAGCATAAGGTATGCCAAACCAATAATTCACATTCGTACCATTTATTGTTATTTGACGGCCAATATAAGCACCTTGCTGTGTTTGAGCCATCGGTGAAATGTTGGTCGCTTTGGTGACTGGAACAATCAGTAATACCGACAGTACCACTGCTAGAGGTTTTATCATGATCTTGCGTGGGGTTACCTTTTTCTATATAAATTTATATGATTTACTCGTATTCTTGTTTGTATACGCTTGGGTGATACGGGTATAAATAGGGATAGAATACTGCGAAAATACTCTCTCACTTCTACCTTTATGTTTGGCACAAAGCTGGGCAAGTATCGACTTGTTTGAGTGCGAGTACG